CCTCCCCAGCCTCGTTCTCACTTCCTCTGTCTGTCTCCTTCTCACCACTCCTGCGAGTGCACAGGAGGGCTGAGGGAAGCCCCATGTGCCTGTGATGAACGGAGCTAATTTCTGGTTTGCTGGTACGCCGCAGAGGCGCTGCCTCCGTCCCCCTCCCTCCCAGCAAACCCTCTCCCACACACAGACAAATAGGCTGCATATTTAATTGGAATTCCTCACACCTACAGGGTAAAGCCTTGTCAGTAGAAATAGAGCCCACAGCCAGCTGGCTTCCCCCATTCCACCCACCTTGTCTCTTAAAAAGAGCCCCCCCCACGTGAACACCACCCACGGGCCCTTGCACATCCCTCCCGGCATGGTTGTAAAGGAGGGATTGGTTGGCAGTGCCACTCCTTGCCTGGGCTGCTATAGCTGGGCCCACCCAACAGAGACCACCCAGGGGCTTCTGCCTGGCAGACGGGCCCTGGAGGCCTTTTCTTTGCCCATTTTGGGAAACCCCTTGCCAACACTCTCAGAGCTCCAGGGTCCCCGAAGGGTGCTGCCAAGAGATGCAGGCGGCTTGGGTATAAGGGAACAGGTGGGTGGAGAAGGGAAGGAGAGGAGAGCCCTAAATCTAGAATGTTACTGGCAAAGGGACCTTAGCATCCACTCTCTGGTACACGTGGGAAACTGAGGACAGAGAGGCAAAGGAAAAAGCATCCATAGCTAACGGGATGCAGACCTGGGCTGGCCCTCTGTCATAGGTCTGAGGATGCCACCCTGCCCCTGACTCTGTGTATCTCTCCCCAAATGCAGAGGGGCAGTGGCACACGGAAGATGGCAGGACCAAGGGAGAGACACCCACTAGGAGTCCTGCAGGAGAAAATTCCCACACAGCAGCATGGAAGGAGGTCTAGGGAGACAAGACAGGGCAGCAGAACGCAGAGGTGACAGGCCTAGAGGATGCCCTGCCCTGGAAACACAGCTGACCATCCTGGTAGGGCCATAGGGGTCAGATTGTCCCTCTACCAGCTGCTCCAGAATGGGAAGTCCCCACACCTCATGAGGGGAGACCTGGACATTCGGTGTTGGCCACCTCAGCCAGGCTTGTTTGGGATCCTGGTGCTCCACGAGTGATTCCAATCTTCCTTTATTTTCCCCTGCGGGTCTCTTTCTTCCCTGTCTAGCTGAGACTGCGCCTGGCACAGTCCGGCACCAAGCCAGTGTGTCAGCGAGTAGACAGCTGTCTGGGGGGCTCTGAAGAGCACTGTGACATCCTCACGCTCCCCACAAAATACCATCTCAGTTTGCCTGAAAGTTCACCATTAGTGACTCATTTCTTTGGGTTAAACATAGCCCTCCCTTCTTAAACGCAGCTGCTCCAGGAAAGAACTCATTGAGTTCTTCACAGCCGAGAGTGAATGGGGAGATCTGGGCAATGGGAAGCCAGAAAAGAAGGCAGTAAGGCGGAAGCAGGGAAAGGGACAAAAAGCAGGAAGGAAAGTTATTGAAAAGGAAGAGATTAAAGGAAAGAGCAGCAAGAAGTGGATCCAGCTCAAGCCACAGCTGCTCCACAGCAATCAAAGTGCCCCACCTGGGAGGTTGGAGGACTTGCCACCTCCCTGGGGAGCGGCAGAGCCAGGACTCTGCTCCCACAACCCCACTCAGACCAAGTCCCAGTGCCCTCGTGTAGGGTCCATCCTCCTCT